AACAACCTCGACAACCTTATGGGGCAGGAACTGTTTTTAGATTGCAGGGGAATTCAGACTTGGGTTGTGGACAGGAGATCTGTCCAGGTCCCACAGCTGGGAATGGCAGAACTGGGGTTTCCCACTTGCCCGGTGCCCTCCCCTGTCCCCTCCATGGTGTTCTGGGTCCAGGTTCTCTGTTACTCTTCACAGCACCTCACCCTCAGCAGAGGCAGCCAGCAGGGGTTTCCAGAATGGGACAGATCACTCTCCCTTTCCAGGCTGGACAAGGCCAGCCAGGTGGGTGGGCAAGCGGGAGCTGGAATGTCGTCTAACCACCCTGGAAATTCCTCAGCTGGCCTGGGAACTGCCCCACCCCTCCCCTGTGCCTATAGGCTCACTAGCCTGAGGCCGCAGAGAGAAAGACCCAGCATATAGCAGAGGCAGAGCTAGGTCAATGAGGCCTATAGTCTGCATGTTAGGCTTGAGTCTGCCCTTGGCTCACTGGTGACCTTGAGTGAGACCTTGGGCTACCCTTTCTGGCATTAGTGTTTTTTTTTAACCTGTTAAAAAAAAAACAGGTACCATCATGGCTGCTTCATACCTGGAAAGTACCAGAAAGAGTAGATCCTTGGGCCCTGCCTGTAAGGCATTCCCCCTACAGGTGGAGAACTGACCAGACAAGTCTGGTGGAGAACTGACCAGACAAGCAGAGCCATGGGGCTCTAAGAGGGCTGGTCATGGAGCTTCCTGGAGGAGAGGTCCTGAGCTTTGGAGGGAAAGCAAGAGGTACTAGTCAGGGGCACAGCTCTTGAAGTCAGATAGACCAGAAATACTCTGCCATTTGCTAGCTTTATGACTCTAGAGAAGTTATTTTGCCTGAGCATCTCAGGATTAATGAGAAGAGGTCTGTGAAGCCACCTAATGTGAAACTTGGCATTGAGAAAGCACTCGATTCCTGTTAGAAGATAAGGGAGGGTGCCCCTGAGCAAAGACATGACGTTGGGACTGCTTTTGCTGTGCTTGAGGCAGGAAGATGAGGATGGAGACAAAGAAGGTAGACTGTCTAGATGAGTGGCAGGGACCAATCAGGGCCTAGAGTGTTAGGCCCAGGAGCTTGGATGTAGCCTGAGGGCAATAGGGAGCCATGGAAGGGTTTTGATCTGCACAGTATGTGTTCAGATTTGTGGGGACTAAAAAAATTAATACCTTTTCTCTCACATTCGAAGTTCTTCTAGCTGGGCTAATAATAAAATTAACAGAGACAGATTAACAGGAGAAAAATCAAATTTTAAATCCATGTGCATTTTCACATAAGCATGAAAATTCCAAAGACAGTGAGGCAACATTGGATATATATGACATTTTGGACAAAAGAGGAAAGCGGGGAATGAGGTCTTAGATTTCAGACATGAAAATGGGCAGTTTACAGGTAGTCGATTGCAGGTAGTTGAGGAAAAGTAGAACACACACGGCAGGCAAATTCTTGCTAAGCAACTCAAAAACAATGGGACACAATGGGTATCTAGCTAGCAGACCCCTGCCTGAAACCCTCCTATTTACTAGACTTAATTCGAAATAGGTTAAAGTGAATATCCTAAGATTTCTTCCCCAAAGCAGACTTTTTCTATCTGAATCTCTTGGGCAGGAAAGTGGGGAGAGCCAAAGGTTCTTTCTGAGTCTTATTTCTTAATAAACAGCTTAAAATCAATATCCCAAAAAGGCAGCTTCAGGGTGGTAAAACCTTAGTCTCCTTCAGATTCGTGTTTTAAGAAATATGAA